GGGTGGCTCCACAATTGCTCCTCCATAGAGTGGAGTCACCATAAAGGTGCCCATACACCTTACGATTATCGTCCGATAATCGTATGCGATCGACTTTTCGTCCGATAATCGTATGTGTGCATTGCAGTGTCCGACCGACATTACTGTACAATCGTACGACTTTTGAGGGTCAAGCATGTTGGAAAACTTTGCTCGATCGTACAATGTTCGCATGGTTGGTGGCGTTTCCGTCCGTCAAAAGTCGTACGATTAACACTGCGCATGCGCAAACGAAAATAATTGCGGTCAATTACCGCAAGTCGTCCAGGTGTTTTTTTTTAACTACTGCTGATTTAATCTTGCGATAATCGGGGCAGGATGGGGCTGTCGTACGAAAATCGTACGACTATTCGATCATCGGACGAAAAGTTTCGTCCGATAATCGTAAGGTGTATGGGCACCTTAAGACAGGAAGTGTGTTACTCATCCGGTGAAAGTAAAGCAAAAAAGTCTTAAAGCAGACCTCCGGGTAAATAAAATCTTAACCCTTGCCGTGGGGCTTACCCCCACACTGCAAGGGTTAAGTGCCCGTTTTGTCCAAGGAGCTAAAATAACAAAGTCATACTCACCCAACCCATGATCCCAGCTTGCTCTTAGACCAGTCCCTTCAGCCTCGCTCCCCCTCTGCTCTGGCAGTCTAAGGTCCTGTGAATCATCACGTTCTATACAGTGTATACAGTAGAATGTGAGGACGCCAAGGGACATACCATCGCTGGAGTGGAGGAAGCAGTGTAAAAGCAATCTGGGATCATGGTTCGGGTGAATATAACCTGGTTATTTTAGCTCCTTGCAGTAGGGCTACCCCTGCACTGTAAGGGTTAAGATCTGATTTGCCTGGAGTTCTGCATTGAAATATGAAAACTAATGCAGCTGCCACATTTAAGGATTGGTACACTGCAATATATTACATTTTTGTTTTGGGGGTTAGATACGCTTCAGGAGGGAAAATTCCGCAGAGAATCTGTCAACTTATTGTTTCATATAATAAAGATTCTCAGGTCTTGTCTGCTGTTCTTATTCTTTGTTCTAAATAATACTGTTCTGGCTTATAGTGACCCGTACCATTCAGTATAATTCACCTTCACAGACTATGTGAAATCTTTCAGTAAGTCATGGATTTTCAGATGCAGAAATAAAAATAATTTAATGTGCTTTAATAAAAGTTTCATTCAGTGTACATCTAGATAACCAACCTGTAAAACTATATTGTTCAAACTAGATGTTGAAGATATAATGTCTAAAGAAGTGCGATGCTGCAAAATAAATTATCTGCGGCAGCGAACAAATTAATCCTGGAAGATGTAACCTGACCCAAATCCTACTCTATATTACCCCCCACACTCCTGCCAACAATGCAACTAGTTCAGTGGAGAAAACATCCAATGTGTATATTTACCATTTGAAGGAAGGAAAAAGCAGGATGTACCGAAAATTGAATTTTCAGACCAAAACTAAACATTTTGTCAGGCCGAAACCCAAACTTTTTTTTTTCTAACCTTTTTTTTAAATATTTAATATTTATTTATGTATTTTTTACTTTACTATTGAGGGCTTTGGGGAAATATTAGGGGTAAATAGATTAGGGGAAAACGAGATTGACGGAACACAGAGCAGCACCCAGTAAGCAGGAGAGTAAGAATGGATGCATCGCAATTTTGCCCAAAAAAATTGTACTTACTGCATTTTGCCCGAAGTACCATTTTCGGACGATGTGTTTCGGCGGCTGAAATTGCGGTGCATCCCTAGAATGATGCTACTAATAGCATCAATAGTTACACTGCAAGTACCTTAACTATTAGCAGAAATATATTTTATTTGTGTATCACTCGGCTGTAGATCCTCACATCATCTCTGAATTGGTGCTGACACTGTCCTTCCTTCTGGAGGGGGGCTAATTTTGTTCCCCATGGTCCCTGTGTGTGTTAGAGCCCTTAATCTCTTTTTCTGCAACCCCTGTTATAAATGAACAGGAATCCTCTATACTGAGTGTTCATCCATAACTTGTGGCGATAGGGTGTTTACTATAACCACAATCATAAATGAACAGGAGGTGATGTAGATCACTTCCCATTCATTCATAATTGAGGATATAGTAAACATGCTACAGTATGTCCTAAATTATTTACAAACACTCAGTGATCACTGAGTGTTTGTACCTGCTCTCCATCCTGACAGCTGTCACAGGAGGCTGAGCGAGCGGTGCGGGAGGAGTGCTCGGCCTGCTGTGACAGCGCTGGCTGTCTCCGCCCACACTGCTCTCCTCTGATGTGTGACAGGAGGCTGAGCTCAGCCTCCTGTGACAGCAATGGCTGTCTCCGCCCCCACACCACTCTCCCGATCTGTGACAGGAGGCTGAGCGGTGCAGGGGGGGGGAGAGACGCCGGCCGTTCACAGCCGCCTGTGACAGTTTGTCTCCTGCCCGCTGGGACACAGAGCAGCTCCGGGGAGGAGAGAAAGAACGGATACACTGCTGTATGGGCCAGATAATGGCACTTTCGGGCGATATGTTTCGGCGGCCGATATATCGGTGCATCCCAAATATTTATATACATATACATTTTCCAACAATTTTTTAAACCTTATATAGACCAAACAAAATGTATAGTAATAGCCAGTAACAGGCATAGGACAGGTTGAAAAATAATAATAATACGGTGATGTTTAGGCCTCATTCACACTGCTAAGAGCCGGCACGTACAGATCCGTGCATGGCCGCTCCCGGGAAGGACAGGTACTGCGTGTGATTGTACGCAGCAGCCTGTTCTTCTCTGTAGGAGTTGGCTGCTGTACGCTTACCCGATGGATGGATCCTGTCTGCTTCCGAGCATGGACACCCGCATACGTACGCATGTGCAGGTGGGGTGAGCATATGGCGGCGTACTCCCATAGAGAAGAACAGGCTGCTGCGTAAAATCACACGCAGCACCTGTCCTTCCCGGGAGCTACCCGATACGGCTGTGCACGACGCACGGATCTGTACAGGCCGGCTCTTAGCAGTGTAAATGAGGACTTACTCTATTTTCTTATGGCTTTTGGTTAGTTGTTATGGTTTCCTTGGTTACAGGCACTTTGCATGTTGCCACAGAGAGCAGGAAGGGGGCGTGGCACACAGCAACTGTGACCTGGGAGACCGGCTGGTGTGTGCGATTGGAAACAGAGGGCAGAGGATGGACCCTGAGGTGATTCCCATCAGTGCACTAAATGTAAGAACAATTCTCTCAGAAATAACACTGCAGGTCCCTGTCTGGATATATGGCATACAGTATGTTTGAAATTAATTAGGGATGCACCGATATCCAGTTTTTCGGTATCGAGTACCGATAGTTTTTCCCGGTACTCGCCGAAAAAAGTCCCATTAAGGAAGCCGAGTGACCTGTAATGACTCTCCACCTGGCTTCCCGATTTGCAGGGAATCCATCTCCATGTTTCCTCCTCACCAGGTGACGAGGAAGCATAGTCAGCTTTCTGGCCAATCAGGAATCCGGGGGGTGGGTAATGACTCCTAGCCTGGCTTCCTGTTGGCCAGCTTTTCAACCAATCAGGAAGCCGGGCAGCGAGTCATTACATGGCGCCCAGCTTCCTGATTGGCTGGAAAGCCGGCTCCATGCTCCCTCGTCACCAGGTGACGAGGGAGCATGAAGCCGGCTTCCCAGCCAATCAGGAAGCTATACGGCAGGTAATGACTCGCCATCCGGCTTCCTGATTGGCCAGCTTCCTGACCAATCAGGAAGCTAGGGGGCAAGTCATTACATGCTGCCCGTCTTCCTGATTGGCCGGGAAGCCAGCTCCATAGATCGGGAAGTGAGCGAACACATAGCGTCGCTCGCTCACTTCTCGATCCTGTCCCTGCAGAGAGCTGTGACTGTCACTCACGGCTCTCTGCAGGGATTCCCCCTCCGACCCTAGAGTATATACAGCAAGCTGTAGCTCGCGATCTACTGAGCTTTGGGTCACAGGAGGAGGCTAGTTTATGTGCTCCCGTGACCCTCATGAGAACTACGGGGAAAAACACTTATCCCATAGTTCTCTTTTAAAGACCAACTCCAGACAAATGAAATGTTTCCCCTTGCGGTGGGGCTGCTCTCTCGCTACAAGGTTTTCTGCTTGTTTATGCCTAGGAGACAGAAGAAAGCCGCTTGACTTCCCTGATTCCTGCTCCCACAGGCTCCCTCCAGGTGAGTGCCGGCCGCCAGGGAAGCGGGAAACCAGCAAGTAAATCTGCTTTTTCCTGAAAGAGTTTGAACACGTTTTGCTTTGATGCACCTGGAATGTAATTAGCTGATTTAAACCTAAAATTCGATTGGGCTTTAAATTTATATATTTTCCCCCCTGGGAGTGGGCTCCAGAAAGGGAAATCTTCTGATGGGGACACTTGTTTCCATGACAACTATCTAAGAGGGGATTTTCCTCACTCGAGTCTACAAGGATATCCTATCACTTCCTGTTAGGTAAGGAAGTGAACCCCCCGCCCAATGAGACACAACGGAGGGAATTTATCAAAACTGTAGCAGACAAAATCTAGAACAGTTGCCCATAGCAACCAATCAGCTTCTTTCATTTTCAAAGCTTAACTGAACAAATTGGAGGTTGATTGGTTGCTATGGGTAACTGCTCCAATCTTGATAACCTCCACTTAGTATTACCAGTCTTGAACTCTGTGTAACAGATAAACAGCCTACACAGAGAACAGACCGCCCTGTGACTCCCATCAGTGTATATCCAGAATCTGCAACTCCACATCACTCTATTACATCCTGCCCAGCAACAACCCCACACTCCTCACCAATGCGTCATATGACATCTCGGCAGACGTCACATGTCTGCGACTACAAGGCGGAAGTGACGCTTAACTGTCGTGCCCCCGCTAACTACTTATGCCTGAACAAGTTCACTCTTTATGTGCGGGCACACGTTATCCTCTCTGAAGACACCGGTGTGACAGACTGTGGTCTAACGCGCAGCAGCCATGGAGGCAGAAGACGCGGTACGTTCGATGACGTCATTAAGAGGCGACTAGTGCCAGTCACGTGGTCCTTTCCTGACACTCCTACTGGAGAAGTCACTGGGGGACGCCTGGTGTGTTCTCACAGTGACAAGGGTGGAATAAGTGATGGCAGAGCGTCATTATTAGAGTATATACTGGGTGATAGTCAGCACATAGTATTCATATTTAGAGTATATACTGGGTGATAGTCAGCACATAGTCTTCATATATTTAGAGTATATACTGGGTGATAGTCAGCACAGAGTATTCATATTTAGAGTATATACTGGGTGATAGTCAGCACATAGTATTCATATTTAGAGTATATACTGGGTGATAGTCAGCACAGAGTATTCATAATAGAATATATACTGGGTGATAGTCAGCACATAGTATTGTGTTACGCTAAAGAAATACATGTACTATATATCTTCTATATATTATGTACTATATAACTTCCAAGGTTGTTTATGTTGCAATAACTCCAGGCAATCAAAAAATTAACCCTTTGCGGCGGGGCTGCCCCCACACCGTGAGGGTTGAGTGCTTCTTTTGGACTATGTGCTAAAAAACATACTCACCGGTGACCACTCGCCTCTGGCAGTGGAATGTCACTCTGTGTCCTCATGTCTAACACAGTTGCATTAGACGTGATGATTTCACGGGTCCTCAGATCGCCAGGGCCTGGGGAGAAGAGGTTGAAGGGGACCGGTCTAGCAGCCAAGCAGGACCAAGGATCAGGGGAGTGTTTTAGCCCGTAGACCACAACGAGCAACTGACCCTTGCAGTGTGGGGGTAGAGTTAATTTTTAGATTGCCTGGAGTTCTTCTGTAAATGTTGAAGTTTTAGTAAGGATGATCCTTGGGCAGACGGGTGACTGTCCCTGGTGATTTGTCGAAATTGCATTTGGCAGCATTGCTCAGAGGTTGTCTGTTGTTCTTATGAAGTCACTCCCATCCCTAGGAATCGAGATTCAGCTTTGTATTGGCCAGTGATAGATTGACATCACGCTGCATCTGGCTACAGAGGGAGTGGTTCCATGCAGGCAGACAGGCGGCCCCTTTAGCAATCCTCCCGCTGGGGATTTGTTTGTAGTGGCAGAGTTGACATCAACATTGGACTGGCACCCACCTTGCAAGGGTTAAATGCTCCTGATTCTAGGGGTAGAGGAGTAAGCTGCAATACTTACCTTATTTTTTGCTCCGACGGGCTTCCACAACACTGTGTGACCAGTCCCTCAATGCCTGGCCAGCAGTCACCCTCTGACATCATCACATATAATGCAGGACCAATAGCCAAGCAGAGTCACCAGAACTAGTGTCCCCATTAGAATATTTCTGATCTATTCCTGTCCTGTTGACAACCCAACATTTGGGAGTTTCTTTCACATTCAGTGATGGCAGTCACCAGGAAAAATAGAGAGGGTGACTCTCCCTAAGGGGATTATAAAGATGGTACTCCCTTGACTACAGAAGGCTGTTTTCAGGGCAAAGTGAGCAAATTTCTAATATTAATTTGTAAAAGTAGTTGTGTCATCATCACCGACCTCTACATAATGTGTCAGGGAGCAGGGCTGTGGGAGATCTAGAAAGGCCTCCCTCTATAAGCAGGGGTTGCTAAATTCGCCCTTCCAGCTGTGGTAAAACTACAAATTCCATCATGCCTTGTAAAGCCTTATAGGACTTGCAGTTCCACAACAGCTGAAGGGCTGAGGTTTGGCTATCTCTGGTCTAAAGCCTGTCTGCAGAAAACTACAGGAGGGGGCAGAGGCGAGACCAGTCACCCTGAACAAGGATGGAGAGCATCAGTAACCAGTCTTTATTACAAGAGGGGGCAGAGACAAGACCAGTCACCCTGCACAAGGATGGAGAGCAGCAGTGAGCGGTCTTTATTACAAGAGTGGCAGAGACAAGACCAGTCACCCTGCACAAGGATGGAGAGCAGCAGTGAGCGGTCTTTATTACAATAGGGGTTCAGAGACAAGACCAGTCACACTGCACAAGGATGGAGAGCAGCAGTGAGCGGTCTTTATTACAATAGGGGTTCAGAGACAAGACCAGTCACACTGCACAAGGATGGAGAGCAGCAGTGAGCGGTCTTTATTACAATAGGGGTTCAGAGACAAGACCAGTCACACTGCACAAGGATGGAGATCAGCAGTGAGCGGTCTTTATTACAATAGGGGTTCAGAGACAAGACCAGTCACACTGCACAAGGATGGAGAGCAGCAGTGAGCGGTCTTTATTACAATAGGGGTTCAGAGACGAGACCAGTCACACTGCACAAGGATGGAGATCAGCAGTGAGCGGTCTTTATTACAATAGGGGTTCAGAGACAAGACCAGTCACCCTGCACAAGGATGGAGAGCAGCAGTGAGCGGTCTTTATTACAAGAGGGGGCAGAGACAAGACCAGTCACCCTGCACAAGGATGGAGAGCAGCAGGGATCATGCTGTTTTTATAGGAATCTACTGCACACAAGAAAAAGTTCAAGCTGGATTCCTGCACAGATCTGGAAAAATCCACAAAGGACATGAGTAAGGCCATATTTCTTTCCCTGAATTTCTACTTGAACTCTTTAGTCCTGCCACCGTGTAGAAACAAAAGCACCTGGCTGAATACACCGTCTACTCCAGAGGCCGTACAGCAAGTATTTCCAAAGCTGGGTATACACGCTTCAAATTTCAGGCGGTTCTTAATGAACCGGCTGAAATTCGCACAGTGGGTGCCTCTGTCGGGACCCTTCCGCCCGGCATGCCGTGATCAGCTGATCGAAGGAGCCAGTTGGAACATTCTTGCCGGAATGGAACTGGTAGCTAATCATCTATACAAATTGTGGGGGTATAGCTCGAATGGGGGATCACCTTCCCTGGGAAAAACAGTCCAGGCAGCAAAGTTCTTTTTCTCTCTGAACACATCCAACATGTAGCTCTCTCAGAAGGCTGTCTGAGTCCCAGGCCAGAGCAAAACCATGTCTCAGCCTTCCCCTTTTATCTCACCTGGACAAGCATTCATCAAGCAATCAACTATCCAGGTGAGACCCAAAGCCCGAGCTGGACTATCCGGACCCAAAGTCAAAGCGAAACCCTGGTCAGGGTTCCACTATTCATGCACATAGGATAGAAAGCGAGGGGAAACATACCGCCCCTCAATGATGTCCCCTCTCCTTATGTCACAAAATGAATCAGTGGGGGATTCGTCCATTGAAGCTCATAAGCAAATGCAGTGCTGAAACAGCTCATCATACCGCCCCCTGCTGGACCTCACTGAGCACACCCAGCGTGTTGGAGTGCAGGCCCATGTGAACGAGTCCTAAAGTAGGAAGATCTAAACACAGGAAACGTGAATGGGGAAGCATAAAGGTTGCATATATTTCCCATATAACGTCTCTTGCGGTTAGAAAAGCTTAAGGACCCTTTCACGCTGTCTGATGAGGGGGAACCGTACAAAGAACTCCTTCTGATCAGAACGGCATGGATCAGATGTCACCGTTGTGAAATCCGTGTCCCTCCAATTTTTTCCTCCATCTTGTGATGGGGGAAAAAATCTGAAATGATCGCCCTCCCATGTTGATCTATGGGGAATCGGATGTAAACTGACTTTTGTCCCTCTACATCATATTACCCCCGATCCAGCAAGATCAGGTCCGTGACATAGAACCCTGTTCCATTTGCTACACATTCCAACATTTCCTTCAAGTCATCTGTGGCTATAACTATGAACCAAAGGAAATAATTACCTGTTTTATCTCAGATTACAATCACGCTGGCTTTTATTAGGTTGCTGTGCGGCACATAAAAGATACATGAAATGAGCAGACGTGGTCTACTGATTTTATGTAACCCTGATGTCCTTTTGAAGAATCCCATAAAGCCGCTGTGATTTTTAATATAAAACCAAACCATGAGTTACAGCCTTTGGCTCCTGCTTGTTTTTACATGTGTATGTGGATAAGTGTTTCTGTTCTGGACCACCAATGGGAGAGCCCTGGGCTTAAAGAACAACTCTGGGCAAAAATGGTATTAACCCTTGCAGTGGGATTACTCCCGCACTGCAAGGGTAAAGTGCTTGTTTTTGCTTAGGTCAAAAAATAACAGTTATACGCAGACAAACTTCTGAGCTGGTCACAGCTCTCCTTCCAGCCTGTCTCCTCCTCCACTGCAGCAATGGCATGTCCATCAGTGTCTAATACACAGTGTATAGATCGTGATGACTCACTGGACGTTAGATCGCTGCAGCGGAGGGGGAGAGAGGCTCCAAGGACTGGTCTAAGAGCAAGCCGGCTCCAATGATCATGTGCGTAACTTTTTTATTTTTGACCCTAGGCACAAATGAGCGCTTAATCATTGCAGCTCAGGAGTAGCCCCACTGCAAGGATTAATAAAAGTTTCTCTCACCGGCCACTTTATTAGGTACACCTTGCTAGTACCCGGTTGGACCCCCTTTTGCCTTCTTTCTTCGTGACAGATTCAACAAGGCGTTGGAAACATTCGTCAGAGATTTTTGTCCATATTGACATAATAGCATCACGGGCCCAAAGTGTGCCAAGAAAGTATCACCACCAGCCTGAACCGCTTATACAAGGCAGGATGGACCCATGCTTTCATGTTTCAGTTGAAATGGAGACATCAGACCAGGCAACGTTTTTCCAATCTTCTATTGTCCAATTTTGGTGAGCCTGTGCGAATTGTAGCCTCAGTTTTCTGTTCTTAGCTGACAGGAGTGGCACTCGGTGTGTTCTGCTGCTGTAGCCCATCTGCTTCAAGGTTCGAATTGTTGTGCGTTCAGAGATGGTATTCTCATACCTCGGATGTAACGAGTGCTTATTTGAGTTACGGTTTCCATTCTATCACCTCAAACCAGTCTGGCCATTCTCCTCTGACCTTTGACATCAACAAGGCATTTTCATCAACACAACTGCCACTCACTGGATATTTCCTCTTTTTCAGACCATTCTCTGTAAACCCGAGAGATGGTTGTGTGTGAAAATCCCAGTAGATCAACAGTTTCTTAAAGGAGAACTATGGTGTCAGGGCTTTTCCCCATAGTTCTCCTTAGGGTAAAGGGAGGACACAAACTAGCGTCCTCCCGTTACCCTAAGCTCAGTATACCGCGAGCTGTAGCTCGCGGTATACTGAGACACCGGAGCGGATCCCGACATCCCGTGACACACTGCACGCAAAGCCGTGCAGAGCGAAGCAAAGCTGTCCGGCACGGAGCTTTGCGTGCATTGTGTGAGCTGAGTGCAGTCAGATGATTGACTGCACCTTCAGCCAATCGGCTTGTGCGTAACAACCAGCCAGACGGCGCATCCTGGCGTGCGGGGTTTATACGTGCGAGCCGATTGGCTGAAGATGACATTTTTCATCTCGGCACGCACAGCTAGGTGAGCTCTCGCAAGCTGACGTGCCGAGGAGAAAATTACACTGCTCGCGAAGGCAGCGCGCCACCACTTCGCGAGCAGTGTGTCACAGCCTTTATTGAGGCTGCTCTCAGCCACCTGATCAGCCCAGGCTGGCCATTGGCAATACCTGGCCCCAGGACTAGAGATTTAATCCCACCCAGAGCTCTAAGAAATCTCCAGAGCTCCAGATCCCAGTTACAATTCTGAAAACCTGGAAGAATCTGACAAGCCAGGTTCTTCCTTTATAGAATGGTTTACACTCTGGACCCTCTCAGCCCCTCTGGCTGAGAGTCCTGGGTGCCATAGCTGCCAAATTACATTGTGGCATTGCCTTGCACTGCCACAGTGTATATATTAAATGCTCTGAGTAGGACTTACATTATCTGTAGCTTGTTCTGCCATTTTTTTTTTCCATCTCTCTCTTTTTTACTCTCTCCCTTGACTGCTGGTGCTGATTTCTATTATATGGGTGGCTCCTTGCCTTTAGGGTTCCATGGAGCCACCCATATGTGTGCCCTCCTGTCAGCAAGAGACTCAAAGCCTACGCTATGACGCTACCTGCACCAATTAATAGATGTTTGTTTTGTATTCTCTGGTCTTATTGATCACTTAACAAAGAAAGGTTGACAACACTGCTTGGGGTTTCAGTGCAGCAAGTGTTCTATGTTCTCAGCTGAAACAGGACGTAACCAGCTCACTGGATTTCTGACAGCATCTACATGTTTATTTCTGTACTTTTTAAAAGAGACAAAGACATAGGATAATGTAGAAGTGTTGCGGAGATGTATTTTTTTTTTGGCCCCTATTGTAGACCGGGCCTGCTCCGCTGTTAAAGGTCTGACTTTTTGTATGCTAACCTAAAAGGGAAGACATACTCTTGAACTATATAGTTGTTGGTTGATCTATGGGAGATTGGATTATGTGCAGTGAGCTTTAGAACCTCTGCCAAGTTTTTTATTGCCATCTCCCACATTTTCGTTCTCTTCTTTCTGGTGACCATTGTCACGATACAAAAAGTATGGGGAAATCTTAGAGTTGTCATCAGACCAAAAATGAGGGGAAATAATCCAGTTAGGACAAACCGTTTGATGATTAATCGAACATGGAAATTACCCTCACTTGGAGGAAGACTTCTTCACATTTCCTGTTGAGACTTCAGGACAGGAAGTGAAATCTGACCAGCAGGACAGAGTCTGAAAAAATATAATCTGACAAATGTTTTTACTCTTCCATTCCTTATCCCCTGGACTCTGTGGTGGCCAATCCATGTGTGAAAATGATGTCTCATAGTCCTGAAACACTCTTTCACAATCTGAATCCTGGCATTGTCATCTTGGAATATGTCCAATGTGCCATCAGGGAAGAAAATCCATTGATGGAAAAACCTGATCAATCAGTATATTCAGGGAGGCAGCTGACCTCCTTTCCTGGCCACATAACATTGCCCAAAACATTTTTCTTGGCCCGGCAGTATATTAAAGTGACACTAAACTCAGGATTTACATGTAAAAAATACATTCAGGTACCTTTTTAAAGTGACATTAAAGTATAACTTCTGTTTTTCCCTCCCCCCGCCCCCAATGTTAATGTCAGCACTTACCTTAAATGATGTCTCTTAATCCGATCTTCCTCTTCTTTTTTGTCCTTTTCAGCCTTCTCTCCAGCGCTGCTGCGGGTCCCTGATCCAGCGCTGAGTCTTCTGTGCTTGCTGGCACTTCCTGTCCCTTGCTGCATGCGAGTGCACGCTGTCCATAGACTTACCTTGTGTCTCTCCTCGTCTCCCGCCCGAAAATCTGAAATGCGCATGCGCCCGCCCCAAGATCCTTTGCGGCCACCCAAGATTTTTCAGATTTTCGGACGGGAGCGCGCAGCGAAGACACAAGTACGTTTTTAACCTCTTTTTAAAGCGTTTAAAAAAACAAAACAGGGTTTAATAACCCTTTAACTATAAACAAAAATGTATCTTATTTGTTTATCACTCGGCTGTAGATCGTGAAATCATCTCTGAATTGGTGCTGACACCGTCCTTCCTTCTGGAGGGGGGCTACTTCAGTTCCCCATGGTCCCTGTGTGTGTTGTAAAGTAGTCAACGCTCCAAGCTCACTCCCGTGATAGACTACAATTGCAATACAAATGAGTAAACTAAACATGAGATTGTAGTTCATCACGGCAGCGAGCTTGGAGCGATGACTACTTTACAACACACACAGGGACCATGGGAAACAAAAGTAGCCCCCCTCCAGAAGGAAGGACAGTGTCAGCACCAAGTCAGAGATGATTTGAGGATCTACAGCCGAGTGATACACAAATAAGATACACTTGAATGTATTTTTAAGATCTAACTCCTGAGTTTAGTGTCACTTTAAGTTCTTTGGGGGGTTAGATACACTTTATTAGTAAGGTAAAGTTCCTGAGCCTTCTTTGTGCTGATGAACACATATTTACTCATTGGAATCTCACCAATATTTTATGTTATACTGTATCACCGTCGCCCATCTTGGTTACCTTTTATTCATTTTGTTTCTTTTGGCAGAACGTTGAGGAACTCTGTCTTCCCGCAGACTTTATAATGAGCAAAGTTAATATATTTATCAATTCCATCACAGCAGAAACTCCCCACTTCATTTTTATTATGTAGCTGCTTGTCTAACAGTGTTGTGTGCTGCAAATGTTCCTATTGTGGTGAAAACTTTTATATTCTTTTTGGATGACCTGATGACAGAATGACATGCTGTGCCGGGCAGTAATGTTTTGCTTTTGCCTCAAAAAACTGATGTAGGTAGATGGTAATTGTTTGAATGCAACTGCAAGCCGGCTACAAAACTGATCAGATTGCCGGTTTGGATTCTGGTTAAACACAGCGAACGAATGCAATTACAAATTCAATATGCAGCCCTGTATGCTAAAGGAATCTGGTATTACAGCGATGCCCCTTTTATAGGAGGTATTCTATTCTAATGGTAATTTTATTAAAAAATCTAATTTGTGTGCTTTACAAATATTCTCAACACTAAATTCAGTACTAGCAAAACATTAAAGATGAACTCTGGACACAAAAGCTTACATCTAAATATATTCCATAATAGCCACAGAAGATATACATCCACTTTGTGTGCACCAAAATGCCTTTGTAAGCCCACATATTACCTTGTAAAAGTAGCAGTGACATCATCACTGTGGTGTACATGGCCTGCACAGAGAGTAGAGCTGTGGGAGGGACCCAGCAGGCCCCACCCACTACACACTGCCTGTAGAAAACTACAGGAGGGGGCGGATACAAGACCAGTCACCCGAAACAAGGAGGGAGCAGCAGTGACTTGTCTTTATTACAGGAAGTTCCAAGTCTCACACTGGATTACTGCACAGATCTGGAAGAAATTCACAAAGCTCACCAAGATTCAAATAACAATACACATGAATCTTGTATTTAGACAATATTTGCTTATCCTCCCATTTTTAGCTTGAAAAACAAATGATAAATAAGAAAAAAAAAAGGAAAGAGCTGGCAGGAGAGCCTGGTCACGTGACCTGTAATCATGTGACCGTCTCTTTTCCAGTCATAGAATTCTCTCTGCTGCATTACACTGGTGATATTGTCCTTGCTGGACTGTTTTGGCAGGGGCATATGAATCACAAAAGTGGAGAGGCGGAATTACAATTTCCCTTTGGAAAGACTGATAAGACTGTGTGCATCTGTGTATTTCAACTGTATATTTTATCTGCTTGCCAGAAGTTCAGCTATAATAGACGCAAATATCTATATATGTCCACCTACTGATCATTGTTCCTGTCTTTGTCTTCTTTTAGCGTGATTATAAAGAGCCATGTCCTCTGTGTTCAGAAGTGAACTGGGGTATAAGCGATGAAGGCACATTCTACTGTAGATCCTGCCACACTGTCATAGAGGTAAGCTGAGGATGTCACACGAAAGTCATTACTATAGAAGTCATCCATTCTCTTTCATCTGCATGGTTAAAAAGGTGCTGCTTAAAGCGACGCTAAACCCCAAAATTAATACAGTAATTTATTAATGAGCTTACTCCGCTTTTCACTATTTGCCTTTTAGGCCTCGTTCCCACCAGATAGTGTGTTCCGGCCCGATTCTGGGCGGAACGCACTGCTTCGCATTGTGGCTGGCTCACTATGTTGTGGGGCAGGAGGGGGCGTGGCGGTCCATTGAAGTGAATGTCACCATAGCCAGGGCCGGCCTTAGGGGTGTGCGAGCAGTGCGGCCGCACAGGGAGCCATTCTGCGTTCTTTGCCACCGCACTCTGCGTTCTTTATTACTGCGTTCTTTGCCACCGCGCGCTGCATTCTTTAATATTACATGTTTGGTGTCTATTTACCCGACGTGACCCCGCTTTTTATATTTTACCAAAAATATGGGTAATAAATGGGTGTGGTTACTAGGGGTGTGGTCACTAAAGGGTGTGGCCACTGAGGGGTGTGGTCACTGAGGGGCGCTGTAAAGCTTTCTCGCACAGGGCGGCTAAAGACCTAAGGCTGGCCCTGACCATAGCCACGCCCTCCGGCGGCAATGCGATCGGCCACATGGGATCGCAATGCACATTATGCTTACGCTCCGGTACGGTGCGGTCTGAACAAAATGAGAGATGCTTAGTATTCCCTGATGTGATAGCTGGGTGCTGGAGGGGTTTCCTTTCCTCCTGGGTTGATTCTGGTCCAGTTCACCCTGCCGAGCTTGTCCCCAGTTGTAGGTAGGAATCCTTCTGGTGCTAATGCCTTCTGGTAGGGATGGAGAGGCATTTGTCTGGCCGGAGGGCTGGGGAGCGGCAGAGGCCCGTGGTGCTATGCCCCCTGGGGTAGGCGTCCAAGGGGTGCCAGAAAATCACTATGGTGTGGGACCCCCACAAGTGATTCACTGTGCACTTGGTCACAGCACCTACTCGCTTTTTTCTGCACTACGCCTTTTGGACAGGCCTTTTGGCTAGTCCTGGGGCAATATTTTTGCACTCCGGCCCCTAAGGCCTGTCAGCGTTGTGCACTGACACTAGATTACTTATGCACTTTTTTATGCACAATTGGCACTTTTCTGACTCTCACAGATGACGGAGGGTGCAGGTACCTTTTGGGGCCTGTTCCTGAAGTTTGGGAGGAGGTTCTGTTACTTACACATGGGGCCCCTCTGCCTCCTCCCACCTGGGGGTCTCCCTTCGGGGGAGCTCCCTACCTAGTACTCGGTGGACCTGTTTCGGCAGGTCCCAGAGGATCGGGGTCCGCCGGCCTTCGGGTTGGTCGTTCTTGTTCCTGTCAGGAGCCTTGCGCCCCGGGGGATCAGGAAAATTGTGGCCCTTTCACTAGAGAGAACCAAAGCACCCTTGTGCACGTTTTTGTGTGTTGTGATTTCACGATTTACTTTTTTTGGTCACAGGGGATTCGTTTTCGAGCACGCTCCACGTGCTTTAGAAAAAAAAAAATGCTGCAAGCGCTATTAGCAGGGAAGCCTCGCCATGAGGTGATGAGGGTGCATGAAGCCGGTTTCCCAGCCTACCAGATTGCTGGCCGCCGCGTCATTGCACGATGCCCGGCTTCCTGATTGGCCAGCTTCCCGACCAATCAGGAAGCCAGGCATGCGCGTAATGACTCGCTGCTCGGCTTCCTGATACAGGCAGTATCGAGCTAGACAGAGCGTTTGGGCCAGTACGAATACTCGAAAACTTCAATACCAATAATTAAAATAAACATGAGCTTTTAGAGTATCACGGAAGTGGGTTGGAGTGGGGTTTATTTATAGTGGGTTCACTCTGCATATAGCTGGACAAGCACTGTTCACACAGGATTACAGACGCTAGATGGATTGGAGGAGCGCTGGAATTTCCTGTGCTCCTCGGCTCCATCTAGTGGCTGTACCGTTTCTGTTTTTCATTTTGTTTCTGTAATTGCAGAGAACCAGAGAACCCGAGCAAGCAGAAACGTTTGTTCTCAATGCAAGGATGCAGTCTCTGTCCAGAGGACTAAGGAAGAAGAATACAGTAGGTGAGAACTGGTGGATTGAAGCTGTCTGTGTACACCTGTAGGAGAATAATACAGATAAGTATGACCATGGGATATGGCTGTTAAATCTCACTTTAGATTTAGAAGAACAGAACTTGATCAACTTTATTTTTACGTTTTACAGCATAGTCCCAAAAAAATACATGCACACACATTAAAGAAAAAATCCATGCAACGTAAAAATGAACCCTTGTATTGGGACTACCCACCGCACTGCAAGGATTAACTGCTTGTTTTGGTCTAGGGACTAAGATAAAGAAAATATACTCGCCTGATCCTTGGTTGCGCTAGGCTGCTAGTCTGGTCCCCTCAGCCTCTTGTTCACTGGGCTCCAGCAGTTTAAGGAGCTGTGATGTCATCACGTCTAATGCAACTGCAATTGTACAAGGGGCATTGGAACATTGTAGGGATGTCCCAATGACACTTTTTTTTTTTAGACCAAGTACAACTACTTGTCCTCAGCTACTCGCCGATACCAATTACCAACACTTTTTCTTAAAGAGACATGTGACATTTTTTCTAAAACAACACAGACTTATGATTTTAGAGCAGCTTCTCACCAGAGCGAAATAAAGATGTCACCAGAAATGAATGCAAGTCCATGTCGCCACAGCAGAATGCAAGTCCATGTCGCCACAGCAGAATGCAAGTCCATGTCGCCACACCAGAATTTTTCTCATCAGGGCGACATGTGGATCTCTGCAGGGCTCTGGGGGGCAGCTCCTATGCTGTGTAGTGTGCCGATGTCCGGGGCTGTACTGTGCTGTGTGTTGGGCTGTCCATGGCTGTGCCTGCACCGGGCAGGAGATATACAACCGGACAGGCACTGCCATGGACAGCTACATGCAGGTGCCTGGCAGGCTGCCGAGGTCCCCACAAGCGCGGTAACTTGGATGGCTGCTGTGGTTTGAAAATTTAAAGGGCCGGTATCGGCCCTAAGAATCGGGGCATTTTCACCTGTACCACTACACGTGAAACTGTCTGCTATTGGCCCCAATACCAATACTAGTATTGGTATCAGGACATCCCTAATTGTACCCATAGACCAAAATGAACAGTTAACCCCTGCAGTGAGGGGATAGCCCCACTGCAAGGGATAATTTTGACATTTCATGGAGTTCTTTTTTTTTAAAAATGTGTATACAAATAAAACAAATACAAAGGAGAGAGACACATGAACAGCGTAAGAAAGGCTCATGTTTTTTAGCAGTATCATATTATAGGTCATATACACTCGTGGCTGCTTTATTAGGTGTACCTATAGAGTAAGGGAAAGTTCCCGCTCCTCGAAGGGGTGGGGAGTGTTTGGGCGCAGGTGTGCTGCTCCTTGTGTGTGCGGACCGGTGTGTCCATCGTTGTGCTTGCGGAAAACAAAAGTGGAAGAGAAGCGCTACAACCTAGCGCAGATGACAAAGGGGTGCGTTCGAACTTAGAGTATATTCAGTGTTAAATTTGCATGTGGGTGGGTGGATCAGGCTGCGTTGTGCGGGGGAACATCTCCGGTCTCTGAGGACGGAGGAGGCGGCGGCAGTTGGAGACCCAATAGAGCTGAATGGACGTGGAGACGGACGATGCGTGCGGGTAAAGGTGAACGCACAGGACAGTAGGGAAGATGATTACTATTATTATACAGGATTTAATTAGCGCCAACAGTTTGCGCAGCGTTTTACAATATAAGGAAGACATTACAATCGCAATACAATTCAAGACAAGATGGTAAGGAGGGCCCTGCCCCCGAGGGCTTACACTCTAAACGGGAGGGGGAAATGATACATGAGAAGGTAGCTGTGAGGGGATGAATTGTTTTAGAACGTGATGGTTCAGTGGTTAGATTGAGGTGGGATAGATGGTTTCTTCTCTCACACAGGGATCGTTGCTTGCCCGAAGCCCTGGAAATGAGAGTGAGATGTCCTGGATGGCTAGAATTCTTCTTTGTCAAGCCAGTGTGAGAGGACTTGTATATATCTTTTCTCTTCTTTTACGTCGGTCCTGAGACGTAACCCCCCCCCTTCCAAGGATCCACATCTGCCCATCACAACCAGACCTTTTCGACAACCATCCCAGGAGGCTCACCACCACCATGCCCATCCATTCCATCACCCTCGCAAGTCCTGACGCACCATACAGCACCACCCTCTTGAAGTCATCTGATTGAAACCCTGATCCACCCATCCACATTATTATACAGGATTTATGTAGCGCCGACAGTTTGCGCAGCGCTTTACATTATAAGGAAGACATTACAATCGCAATACAATTCAGGACGAGAAGGTAAGGAGGGACATGCAAGTTTAACACTGAATATACTCAAGTTCAAACGCACCACTTTTTCCTCTACGCTAGGTTGTGTAGCGCTTCTCTTCCACTTTTGTTTTCCGAAATGTTTCTCTTGGTCTAGTTTGACTCAATAGCATCACATACTGTAGGTCCTGCAGTTATGTTGGCCATATAACCTCCAATACCACCTTATACCAAACATGCTAAGATCCGGGGAGTGTGAAGGCCATTGCAGTTCACTGAACTCCCTGTCCTGTTACTGTAACAAGCTTGAGATGGTGCTTGCTTTGTGGCATGGCATGTAAACCTGCTGGAGGTAGGAGTGAGTAGCCTATGGCCATAAAGGGGGCATGGAGATAATATTGAAGATGCCATTAGTAACCTCCTAAAAATGCTAGTTGGCTGGTCGTCATTCTCATCCAGTGTTTTTGTGCCGCACCAATGGGACATAGAAGTTAATGTTAGATAGAATTTATATATAGTGTGTTTTCCCTATACCATTTTCTATGGACGTTTTCTATGTTAGTTCCTATGCTGCCATCTAGTGGCCTTTTGTGGTAATGTATATATTTTTCTATGTTACCTTCCCTGAGATCGATGACACAGTTCCTCTGTATGTAAGCCCCACCCTTCTTGTTGGTCAGTATTTCCTGTGTCATGGCCACAGCTAACAGCCTCATGCATTCGAACTTAGAGTATATTCAGTGTTAAATTTGCATGTGGGTGGGTGGATCAGGCTGCGTTGTGCGGGGGAACATCTCCGGTCTCTGAGGACGGAGGAGGCGGCGGCAGTTGGAGACCCAATAGAGCTGAATGGACGTGGAGACGGACGATGCGTGCGGGTAAAGGTGAACGCACAGGACAGTAGGGAAGATGATTACTATTATTATACAGGATTTAATTAGCGCCAACAGTTTGCGCAGCGTTTTACAATATAAGGAAGACATTACAATCGCAATACAATTCAAGACAAGATGGTAAGGAGGGCCCTGCCCCCGAGGGCTTACACTCTAAACGGGAGGGGGAAATGATACATGAGAAGGTAGCTGTGAGGGGATGAATTGTTTTAGAACGTGATGGTTCAGTGGTTAGATTGAGGTGGGATAGATGGTTTCTTCTCTCACACAGGGATCGTTGCTTGCCCGAAGCCCTGGAAATGAGAGTGAGATGTCCTGGATGGCTAGAATTCTTCTTTGTCAAGCCAGTGTGAGAGGACTTGTATATATCTTTTCTCTTCTTTTACGTCGGTCCTGAGACGTAACCCCCCCCCTTCCAAGGATCCACATCTGCCCATCACAACCAGACCTTTTCGACAACCATCCCAGGAGGCTCACCACCACCATGCCCATCCATTCCATCACCCTCGCAAGTCCTGACGCACCATACAGCACCACCCTCTTGAAGTCATCTGATTGAAACCCTGATCCACCCATCCACATTATTATACAGGATTTATGTAGCGCCGACAGTTTGCGCAGCGCTTTACATTATAAGGAAGACATTACAATCGCAATACAATTCAGGACGAGAAGGTAAGGAGGGACATGCAAGTTTAACACTGAATATACTCAAGTTCAAACGCACCACTTTTTCCTCTACGCTAGGTTGTGTAGCGCTTCTCTTCCACTTTTGTTTTCCGAAATGTTTCTCTTGGTCTAGTTTGACTCAATAGCATCACATACTGTAGGTCCTGCAGTTATGTTGGCCATATAACCTCCAATACCACCTTATACCAAACATGCTAAGATCCGGGGAGTGTGAAGGCCATTGCAGTTCACTGAACTCCCTGTCCTGTTACTGTAACAAGCTTGAGATGGTGCTTGCTTTGTGGCATGGCATGTAAACCTGCTGGAGGTAGGAGTGGGTAGCCTATGGCCATATGAGTGAGTAGCCTATGGCCATAAAGGGGGCATGGAGATAATATTGAAGATGCCATTAGTAACCTCCTAAAAATGCTAGTTGGCTGGTCGTCATTCTCATCCAGTGTTTTTGTGCCGCACCAATGGGACATAGAAGTTAATGTTAGATAGAATTTATATATAGTGTGTTTTCCCTATACCATTTTCTATGGACGTTTTCTATGTTAGTTCCTATGCTGCCATCTAGTGGCCTTTTGTGGTAATGTATATATTTTTCTATGTTACCTTCCCTGAGATCGATGACACAGTTCCTCTGTATGTAAGCCCCACCCTTCTTGTTGGTCAGTATTTCCTGTGTCATGGCCACAGCTAACAGCCACATGCAATCAGGACACATGTACTCTGCATAGTACCCTAGGAAAGGCATCATCTTTTGACCGCATAATACTGTAACCATTCATCGCTGTTATCCTGTTGTCTTCACGTTCAGAATAAAGCAACCTTTGTGGATGAACACGGTATTGGTGAGTTCAGCTATCTGACAATGAATGTCCTCAGTGATTGAATCTACTTATACAGGCCAGGCATAGAGGTCTCAACAGGGGATAAATCGCTATCACAACAATCGGAGTCAGAATAGTTTTTAATACTTAGGTGTCCGACATGGCAATAGCATGCAGTTCAGGAGTCCTAACTTCATTGTAAATTGCTTGCTGCATGCTTGTTCCAGGAGGTCAGCGATGACAGTCAACTTTTTATTTTTTCTGATCTGGTGGAGTACCTTGCATGGATGTACACCACAGGAGAGCACAACCATATTATTTTGGATGATTTTCTTTCTAATTAATTTTATTATGTTTCTTCTTTGTAGAAAAGGGATGGGAGTGGTATATTTGTGAAGGCTTTCAATTCATACTGCTTAAACAAGCGGAAGCTCTTGAAAGCTTGGGAGTGGATCCTCGGATTAAGGTAATGTTTCCATTATAGTTTTTTCGTTTAAAGTACAATTAACCT